CCATCCCTCCTAGGCCTCCTGCGTCTCCACCTCGGAGCCTAATGCCGGAGCACCGACCAGTGCAGCCTGTGGGCGTCCCCAGGTCACGGTGTCCTCATAACTGAGTTAAATATGCTATAAAGAGCTTGCGACAATGCCTGGCTGGAAGAAAGGAAGTGTCACATCAATGCCGTCATTATTATTATGATACCAGGGAGCCCAAATTTACTCCTACGATGAACGTGACTTGGGCTCACGGTGGAGCAGCCAGTGGGGCCAGCACCAAGCCACCAGGAGGGCTCTGCATGTGGCAACAGCACAGCCTTGTTGCTAGAAGGTTGACCCTGCAGGGTGGGGGTGGGGGGTGAGTAAGAGGGAACTTGCTGGGGACCAAACAAATGTCCGAGCTGAGAACAAAGGCCCGGCCTGCTCACCGGTTGATCATTAAAAACAAGCAGGGACAGAGGTGTCCAACGGCATCTCCAGGCGGAGGTCCCGGCCCATAAGGGTGCCCCCACCCAACCTTGTGTGGAGTGCGTTCCACCCAGCGGTGTCCCCAGTGGCAGCCCCTCTGTCCAGTGAGGTCTGCTGGGGGGAGGAGGCAGGCTCCACCTGTTCAGAAGCAGCTCAGCACAGGTGAGGGAGTCCTGAGCAACCTCCAGGCCCTCCCTCCGCCCCCCTGGGGGGTTCGATTATCTCCCTATGTCCCCACCTCCCTTCCCCTGGAAAACCCTGCTGCCACACTCCCAGCCCTGGCCCCTGCTTCATGGGAGGGTGGTGGCCATCCTCACTTCCAGGACAACCCTCCAGCTAGGCCAACCACCCTCCTCACTTTAGGTTTTCCAAACACCTAGTAACTCCTCTTACAGCCTTTGTACTTTTCCACCCTGCAGGCGGTGCTCCCCGCTGGGAGCGTGCTGAGCGCAGGCATCACCAGGCGATCTCAGCCACAGGACCACCGCACCTGTGTACCTGGAGGGCTGCGCAGCCCCGAGGCCAAGCCCCTGGTGACCCCTCCCCACCCGGGCAGCCCAGCTATACTTTCCTTTGCAAGCAAGCCACCAGGATTCCTCCGTACCCAGCGCGCCGTACCCAGCCCGCCGTCTGTGCGTTCTGAACGGGACTTCTCTGGGTCACCGCGCTCTGCCCTGGGGCTGGACTCTTCCCAGCCGCACGCACTCGCTCCAGGCTCCCCGCGCCAGTGCCTGACCGCTAGCCGGTGCCGGCGGCCACCCGCACCCAGGGCCTCTGGGGTGTGCGTACGCAAACTTTCCGGCGCTAGGGCAGTTCTTCAGCTAGACTCACGCGCAAACAGAATACCCACGGCCACGCTGGTGCCCTCTGTCACCCATGGTGCCACTGACCCCAGTCTGTCTGGACGGGATGTGGTAGACCGAAGAAGCACCCAGGTGCCAGGCCTTTGCCCCAGCAGCGAGCGCGCGCCCAGCGGCCAGCCCGGCTGCCCCCCTACCGCGGGCTCATGCGGGTGCCCCGTGTCCAGGCGGCCCCAGCCCCATCGCCGCAGTTGAGTGGGGGTCGCCAACACTCCCTCCCCTGGGCTGAAGAGCCGTTGGTGCCTCGTCCGGGCCCCTGCGGGAGCCTGGCCCCGCGGTCCCAGCCGCGCCGGCCCTATCGTTCCCGACATCTCAATGAGTTTCTAGTTTCTCCCCACCTCGGTAGGGAACCAAGAGCAGAAGGAGTTCAGGTAACACTCTGGAACTGCAGAGATTTCCCCGAAACAAAGAAACACCCACAGCCCTCCTCCCCCTTCCTCGTCCCCAAAAAGAAAGGGCGCACCCCGGGCGACAAAGTGGGGGCCGGGGACGTAGAAAGCCGGCGCCCCGGAACCCGCTCCAGCCCACGGACCCACCCCGAGGGACCGGGAGGCACCCTCTTCTCTGACCCATTGGCAAGGGACTCGCAGGGCCGCCTGCCCCCGTCTGACGACGCCAACAGGGGCGGACAGGGGTCCAAGCCGCGCGCCCCAGGGCTCCCACAGTGCAGGCCCTTGGAGGGCGCGTGGCGGCTCGGCCGCAGCGCTCTGCCCCGCGGACGCACCTGCAGCGCTCGCGCGCCTCGCTCCGGCTTCGCCTCCAGCCACTCCCGCCCAGCGCGGGGCCGAGGACTCGGGTCGCTCCCAGTCGCCCCGGTCCCCCTCCCAAGCCCGGAACCCAGCCCGGGCCGGGGAGCCGGTCGCGCGCGGCTCACCTGCAACTCTCGCCCCGCCTTCCTCTCCGCCTCCCGGGCCTCCCGCGGCGCTCGCGTCTCCAAAGCTGGCGCCCGAGTCCCCGACCTTCCCGGCTCTCGCTTTTATCTCAAGAGGCGGCGTCCGAGTGCCCAGGGTGACACCCCCACACGCGGGTCCCCCGTCACCTCGTCCGCGGGGGCGGGGGCGGGTCCGGAGCTGGCGGCGGCAGCCGGGGGAGGAGTTTCCCGAGGGCAAGCCCGGGAGACCGGAGGGGACTCCTGGGCACTTCCCGGGTCTGGCCCCTCCGGGCAGTTTAGGGTTGCGGAGGAACTCGTCTCTCTCCACGTCCCCGGACCCCTGGGGTCTCCGACGCTGCTCGGTCCGAGTTTGGATGGAGGAGGGGATTCCGGGGGGCGCTAATCCAGTCCCGGGTGAGCCCCTGGACCTGCTGCTTCGCGAACGCCCGGAGGTGGCGGGGGGAGGGGCAATGTGGCCTCGGTGCAGGGACCCAGGAGTCGGCCGGCGCCCACCGTCCTCTGCCCTCCCGACGTCCCTGTGAACTGGGTTCCCCGAGGGCCCGAGGTCTCCTCGCACCGCAGGCCGGGCGGGGGCGGGCGTGAGCTCGCGGCGGGACGCACCTGGGCCCAGCAGCCGCGGCTTTCCCGGGACCTCAGAGGCTCTTTCCAGTATTTGCAACTGTGAGGACTCAGGATACACCACCCCAAAATTTGGCTATGGGAGACCAGAGCATGCCACCCCAAAATAGTCCTCTTTGGCAAATTGCTTATTTGGAACTGGTCGTTTTGGGAAACTGCCGGCACAGGTGTACCTCTGCCGCCGCTGCCCTTTGTGAGAGAAATTTACATCTCTGCAGGAAATGCTCTTTGGTAAATTCCTCTGTGCCGGAAAGAAGCTATTCCGGGCAACTTTTATCACCGAAGAACCTTTCTTATGCCTAATAAGGCAGACTTTATTCACCGGGCATTTCCTCCCCCCACCCTCCCATGAGGTGCCTCCAGCCGCCCCCTGCACCCCCAAACCTCTGTTCCACTCTGTAGCTCAATCATGTGGCTGCTGCTTTCAGTCTCATATTTTGTGGAGTCCGCATCCCTGAGTTATGTAAATTAAAATGGTTTTACACCTGTTAATCTGTATCATGTCTGTTTAATTCACAGACCAGCCAAAGAATCTAGGAAGGTGGACGGAAGCATATTTTTTTCCTCCCATACACAATATGTAAAGTAACAGGATTTGCTTTAAAATAAGGTGAGAGCAGAAAAAAGCGGAATTCAGTTGGCAGCCTGGGCTCCACATGCCCTGCCCGGGCAGCTCTCCCTGGGGGCCTGACTTTGCTAGCGAGTCCTTCCCTCCCGCCCCCTCCCCTGGCTCCTTTTCTGGTCTGCTGTTGGCATCCACGACAGGGATTGCCCCCAGACACCCAGCCCTACCCGTCTCCCACCCTGCCCTGCACCCCAGGCTGTCCCCAGTGGAAGACAGTCTCCAGCACGCAGGGCAGATCTAGCTGTGCCCTGGTGCCGACTCACTCACTTCTGTTCTGACAGTGCGCTCGGTGCCTGCAGAGGGGACTGCTAATACCCAGCTACACGCAGGTGCTATGTGCTTCTGACCACCAGCCCTCCTGTGGTGGTCGCTCCCCTGACACTCAGCTTTCCCCTTGGCACTGGTAGTCGGGCTTCGCCAGGGGAGCGGAACCAGCAGGTGATGTACGTGTGTCTGTCCAGAGGGATGCGTTGTAAGGAATTGCCTCACCTCATTGTGGAGGCTGAGAAGCCCCACAGCCTGATGTCCCCAAGGCGGCGACCCAGGAAAACTGGCGCTGCAGTTCAAATGCCCGAAAGCCGCAGAGGCAGAGCGCTGATGGTGTAGATTCCGGTCTAGACCCGCAGGCTGAGAACCAGGCCTGCCGAGGGCAGGAGAGGACTGAAGCCCAGCTCACACGGTGAATTCAACCTTCTTCCACCTTTTTTTATTTTGTTCAGGCTTTCAACAGATCGCTCACGTTGGGGACGGCCATCCGGGGCACACTCAGTTCACCTATTGCGATGCTAGTCTCTTCCAGAAACTCCTCACAGACACATCCAGAAATAATGGTTAACCCGCCATCCGCACGGCCCTTGGCCCAGTCAACGTGACACATAAAACCAACCATCACAAGAGTGCCCTGTGTCAGCCTGTCACCCACGCACGTCCCCTTAAACCGTCTTTAATCTCCGAATAAAGACGATAGCAAGGTTATCACTCTGCCTAACTTGGTACAGTTGTCCTCATACAGCCAACATGCACTGATGCCTCCCCCAGGAGAGAAGGTAAGTCCCTGGGTGATGCTTACCCTTCTCCTTGACATCCTATAACTTAAATGCAATGATGTAAAAATTAACAAAACTTAATACAATGACTACGATGCTATAAAGTCAATACAGCCTGTACAGCATAGCAAGGGAATAAGAGAGGAAATGAAACAAAGATAGACATGGCACACACACACACACAAATGCACACACGAAGGTATTCAGAACAAAATAAGGAGAAAATACTCAGGACAATTGCAGTCTTTATTTAGCTGCTTGCCTGGATATGGCTGGTATATATCACCACCCTCTTCCAGTAGCCACTCTGCACTGCCTTTGCCTTCCATAAGCATCTCAGCTGATCACAGTTGTTTGCCTGGCGGCGTACCCAAGCCTTCATTCCTCAAGGGTCTGGGCCATCGGCAGTCCTGCTCTGATTGTGCTGTTGTAGTGTCCCACTGGCGTTACCCGCAAGCGTGGCAAACCTAGGAGATGCCCTATGTGGCGGCTGCACCCTTCCTTACCTCTGCAGGAGAGCGGTCCTCTAGCTTCCTCTCGATGGGCCGGATCGGTTACCCCAGCCCACGCCGCGGCTCTCTCCTTTGCCTGTTGATTCAGAGGCATGCGGAGCTCACGGTGGCCGGGTGGAAGTCTTAGGTTATAGTTTAATGGAATTGCTGGGCCCTCCGGTGGAAGCATTTCTCCCTCTGGAACCAGGGCCTCTAGGCCAGCAGAGCATAACGTCTCAGGAACAGGAAGCACACGTTTTGCCAGTGGGTCACTAGGGGTGACGGTGAGTGGTGCCACTCCCATCTCCACCCCTTGATTCCTGGACCCGTAAATGCTGGCCATGGAAGCACAGCACTGTGTATTGGATGCCGGTTCAGAACATACACAGCCTTTTGGAGAACTTGCCCCACCCTGCAAGGTATGGCCGCCTAGCGGGCACTGTAACAGCATCTTCAAAAGGCCATTCCACCACCCTAGCAAGCCAGCAGCTGCAGGACGGTGGGGAACATGGTCAGAGCAGTGAATTCCATGAGTGTGGGCCCTGCTGCACTTCTTTGGCTGGGAAGCGAGTTCCTTGGTCAGAAGCGATGCTGTGTGGAATACTGTGATGGTGGATGAGGCATTCCGTGAGTCCACGGATGGTAGTTCCAGCAGAAGCATCAGGTGCAGGGAAGGCAAACAGATAGGTAGTGTCTATTCCAGTAAAACAAAATGCCGCCCCTTCCGTGATGGAAGCCGTCCAGTGTAATCAGCCTGCTGCGCCAAGTAGATGGCCGATCGCTCCCAGGAACGGTGCCACATCAGGGACTCGTCACTGGTCTCCGCTGCTGGCAGATCGGGCTCTCAGCTGTGGCCACAGCCAGGTCAGCCTTGGTGGCCCTGGTGAGTGGAAGTCCATGTTGCAGAGCCCATGGGTAACCTCCATCCCTGCCACCATGGCCACTTTGTTCATGAGCCCATTGGGCAACGACAGGGGTGGCTGGGGAAAGGGTCCAAGTGGTGTCTAAAGAGCAGGTCATCGTATCCACTTGACTATTAGAGTCCTCCTCTGCTGAGGTCACCCTTTGGTGAGCATTCACATGGGACACAAATAGCTCCATGCTCTTTGTCAGCTCAGGTCTACCCACATACCTCTTTCCCAAATTTTTCACCAATTTTCCCGTCATGTTCCTTCCAAGTCCCTGACCATCCAGCCAAACCACTGGCCACAGCCCGTGAGTTGGTATATAATCAGTCACACACGTCTGGACATCTCTCCTTCCAAGCAAAGTGCACAAGCAGGGGCAGTGCCCTACGTTCTGCCGACCGTGAAGATTTCCCTTCACCGCTGTCCCTCGGGGATGTCCCCAGAAGGGGCTGCAGTGTTGCAGATGTCCACTTTGGGTGGTGCCTGCAGAGGGTGCAGAGCCACCTGCAGTCCAGGTGCGAGTCTTCTCTCCCTCTGTCCAAGGATCATGGGGAGCTCCCCACAAGGCCACAGGTGCAGGCTGGGGGAGAGAGGGCAGTGTAGCAGGAGCAGGGACCTGGGGCATTTGCTCCACTTCTTCATGTAACTTACCTGTACCTGCAGGACCTGGTCAGATCCAATCACCTATACACCATGTCCATTCGATGATGGAGTGCTGCTGTGCACACCCCGCTTTATGGCTCGGTGGTCAGAGAACACCCAGCTCATGATGGGCAGCTCAGGTTGCATGGTAACTTGGTGGCCCATGGTCAAGCATTCCGTTTCTGTGAATGCCCACTAGCAGGCCAAGCACTGTCTCTCAAAAGGGGAGTGGTTATCTGTGGAGGAGGGCAGGGCTTTTTTTCAAATCCTGCGGGCCTGTGCTACAGTGCACCTACTGGGGCTTGCCAAAGGCTCCAAACAGCATCACCTTCGTCCACTGACACTTTATGCACCACTGGATCCACTGGGTCCTGTGGCCCAAGTGGCAGAGCAGCCTGCACAGCAGCCTGGACCTGCTGCAGAGCCTTCTCCTGTTCTGAGTCCCACTGAAACTAGCAGCTTTTGAGGTAACCTAGTTAATGAGTCAGAGTAATGCACCTAAATCAGGTGTATTACTCAAAAGTGGCCCAGTAGGCTTTGTGCCCCTTTTTTTGTTGTAGGAGGGGCCAGATGCAACAACTTATCTTTCACCTGATGATGGATGGCTTAACGGGCCCCACACCCCTGGACTCCTAGAAATTTCAATAGGGGTTTATTGTGTTGCCTCTGCTATCCACTATGGTAACAGTGTCCACCTTGCCCCTGCCACACTGAGATCAACTATTCCCGTTGCATTTAGGGTTCCCAATCCAGTGCTTGCATTACTCACTATGAGGTCTGGTCTGCACAGAAGGGCACTCCCGGAGCTCTTCAAGGGTGCTGAGGCTCCGCTCCCAAGTTTATTCCCCGAAGTATTAGTGAAAGGTAGGTCTTCTGGACCCTCCGGTGTGGGTGAGTAGGACTTAAATAACAAATCCTCCCTAACATCCCAAACTCCCCAAGCCTTTGAATCTCTTGCTCTACATTAAACCAAGGCAAGTCCAGCATTTCCAGTTCTCTCACGGTGGGCCACCTCTGGATTCGTGCTTCAGCCGATGAAACTGTTAGAGCTCTTTCTGACTCCCTGAGCTGCACCATTAAATAAGGCCACGTCAATAAATTCAGCCCGATCCAACTTTATGTTCCTTCTATTGTCATCTCACACCTTTGGTATCCATTCCCACACGCGTTCCCCAGATTTTTGTTTGTTAAAATTAGAAAACTCAGGTAGGTCTTTTGGAGGCAGCAACTTTTCAATGGCTCACATTTTGGACCTCACCTTCGGGGCCTGCTGTGGCTGGAGTCTAGTTATAGGTCTAGAAGCAAAGAGGGCTGGCTGGCAGGGGTGGGCGCTGGGTGGAATCAGCTGCGTCTTACAGGGCAGCTGCCTCAGGGGAGGCCCCTGCAGTGTCCTGCAGCAATGCAGGGTTAATGTCCCCAGACTAAGTTGGAGAGGCCAGTACCACTGGGGGTGGGGACGCTGCCACCACTGGAGGTGGGGAGACCTCTGTCGTTGGCACGGAAGGCTCACCACAGCTTCGTCAGGTGATTCCCAGGCATTCCCAGCCCAAGCTACAGGCACCTACTCTTCCCAGCCAGTGCACTCACTTTAACAGTGGACACGCTGGGCAGCTGGGAGCCCAACTTTCACTGCAACTCAGCCCAGGTAGAGTGAGGTTCTGCTTTTGTTTCCCAGCATGTCCAGCCCTGCAGCTACCGGACATGAGGCTGTCTGTCCTTCAGGGCGCATGCAGAAGCCTTCGGGTCGCTTATGTGGCACTTGAGCTGGGAATTCAAATCCCTGTGCTCAACCTTTTCTTTCAAACCTCTTTTTGTCCAGCAACAATAAGAGCAGCCACCCAAACTTAATATATTCGTTTTCCAAAAATGTTTGTAAGTATCATAGACACAGCTACCCAGTGCCTTGCTTCTTAAAAGTATCCAGTGAAGATATTTTGTGTGTATCTCTGTTGCCATAGCACATCATGGACTGGCACTGCTCTCATCAATACTTGAAACAGAAGCATTACTATGCTAAAAATCGAATCAAATGAGAAAGCAGAAACCCCAGAAACAACTCAGAAAACTTATCCTTAAAATTCTGTTGCTCCTGAACCATTCCCAGTACTGAAATCTGTTTTGGTCAGAGCTCTCCAGAGAAACAGAACCGATAGGACATATATGTATATCTTCATGTATGTGTGTGTGTGTGAAGACATTTATCATATGGCATTGGCTCATCTGATGATGGAGGTTGAAAAGTCCCATGATCCTTTGTCAGCAAGATGGAGACCCGGGAAGCCAGTGGTGCAGCTCAGAGGCCTGCGAGCCAGAGAGCCCATGGTGTGGCCTCCGGTCTGCATCTGAAGACGTGAGAACCAGGAGCACCAAGGGCGGGAGGACATCCGTGTCCAGCTCGTGTGGTCAGGCAGAGAGCAGGTTCAACCTTCCTCCTCCTTTTTGTCCTATCCAGGCCCTCAGTGGATTGGACGAAGCCCACTCACACTGGGGATTGCCGTCTGCTTTACTCAGTTCACCGATTCAAATGTTAATGTCTTCCAGAAGCACCCTCGCGGACACAGAAATAATGCTCAACCAGATATCTGGGCATCCTGTGCCCAGTCAAATCAGCACAAAAAATCAACCATCATATTTTCTCTTGGCAATTCTCTAAGATTTTGGAGGAAGGGTGGTATGCAGGTCTCCCAGGAGCAGCCCACCAGCTTGGGAAGCCAACTCCGCCCCGGAGCTAGAGGTGGGCACGTGGCCAGTCTCTGGCTCAAAGGCTCTCGGCCGGAATTCCTGCTTCAGAGACGAGCACACAAGAGACTTCTGGACAGCAAGACATGAGGACAGTTTTCCTGGAGCTTGGAGATGGATGTTTTCTCGTTCTTCTAAGGGATCTTCTAGAGACCCTCTTCCTTGTGCTTGGAGGAAGAAGCAAGTAGTCCCAGCAATTGTCAATAGCCATCTTTCCATTCCCAGGGAATGGTACCAGGACAAAGAGAGCTCCTTCATTAACAACCACGGCAGAGAGATGACAAGAAACTGGATTCCTGGTGGCATCATTGAGTCACTGACTCAAGCCAGCTCTGAAGTGAAGCTTGCTTTCCCACTTTTCTACAAATACAAGTGGAAAATCAGGATTATTTACCAGGTAAATAGCTGTGATATAATTTTAAAAAATGTTATTGTGTGTTAAAAATACGCAACAATATTCTGTTTGTAGCAACACAGCAGATTAGATATCCTAAAATAATGCTCACACTACAAAATAGCCAACAAGGCTGGATAAAATATAAATTGTTAATATCCTTTAAAATTACAGCTGAATTTGCAAGAAAACTTGGGAAATCTTCATACATAAAAGTGGAGTGGGGGCATATATCCAGCGGAGGGAGTCATATTGGCAGGCATCCTGAAGTCACCTGGGCATCTCTGGTGGTGCAGTTTCGGGGCAGGAGGTATGAGTGGATACCCCATATCTCCTGCCCCAAAACTTAGCAAAGTCTATGGCTCAGTGAGGTGGGAAGTTGTCTAGGATATCACCACACCAAGCCAGGACCCAAAAAGCTTTTTATATCTACCCCACTGAAGGGTGATGATCAATAAATTTGTCTTAGCTCTCAATGGAAGAGGAATAATGCTCAC